GCCCCTGCCCCCTCCATGCCACCCCGACATGCCCGGCTCAGCGTCATCCCCATGCTTGGCAGAGGTTAGGGATGGGAAGCGGGCACAAGATCTTCTCCCTGCACGCCACGAGCGGGACTCCTGCTTCATCTCCTCCACCCCATCCCCGTCCCAGGGACGTTCTGCCCCTAGGAAGTGAGATCAGCAGCACTCACAGAACCTTCAGTAGCCAAAAAGCTCACACAGGGATAGCTCCCTCCACTGAGATCCACGTCCTCAGGGTGCCTGTCCCCTGAACAGCTCATCCTAAGCCCAGGAAGACCTGGCTGGAGAGGACACCTGCATTTGGCTCCACCACACCACCCATGTCTCTCCTCTCCCATCCCCTCCTTGTCCTTCCTCAGCCCAGGGAGCTGCCGTGGGGCAGGATGAGGAATGTCCTCATTTCAGCCCAGTCCTTGGGCAGGTGGCTCCAGTAGAGCCCTGGGACTCCCTGGGGATGGGCAAAGCCCCCTGGCACGGGCTACAGGCTGGGAAGCAGCATTCCCTCTGCTCAGCCATGGCCAAGCAGGTGGCACCTTCCCCGTGGGGATGCTCAGGGGTGACAAGGTGAGCAGCCAGCACTGAGAGCAAAGAGCAAAGGCCGCGTCCAGATCCCTGGCACAGCTCTGGAAATGCTAGCAGGGAAAGCCCTGGGGTCCCTCCCAGGCAGGAATATCCCTCCAAGAATTGCCCCCACCATCCAGGAGTCAAGCCAGGCAGCTCAAAGGCAGGGGGGACAGACCCAGCCCTGCCCAGTGACCCTTCTCGTGCCTCCAGACAAAAGCCCCGAGGATCCTGGGGCAAGGAAAGGACACGGATTTGATCCGTGCTCAACACTGACAAGGACACAGGACAAAACACAGGTGGGGAACACACAATGCAGCCAAGAGGAGATGGAGGCAACAGGCAGACAGAGCACAGCCCCACCAACACCCGGCAGCAAGGCAGGCACAGAGGGGAGTGTGGTGGGAAAGGGCCCTCCAGAGCCTCTGGAGTGGCACTGGGCACCTCCCCTGCCAGGACCACAGAGCAAGAGCAAGGTTTGAGCCCTCAGGAGTCTGGCTGCATGCTGGCAGCCAGGGAGGAATGGCCCAGCACAGGCACAGGCACGCCCAGATCAGGGACCCTGCTCTTTGGGAAGCACCTACCAAGTCAAAACTTAGAGCTGAGAGTCTGCAAAGGAACAGGGGAGAGTGGGACAGTTCAGGCACAAAGCAACTGCTCCAAGCCAGCCTTTTCAGCTGTGTGCCCAACTTCCCTGCAGCTGAGGAGTGTGTGAGCAGTGCCCAGGGATGGGGAACAGCAGAGCTCAGCCCTGTGGTGCTGCTCACATCAGCCTCTGCTTCCCTTTTGGAAACATCCGTCCCATAATCGTGTCCCCCAAGCACAGAGATAAAGGTTTGCATGGAGAAAGTGCCTCTGATGGACACAATTAGGTGAGAGGCATGAAGCAAATGCATTCCCTCACCTGAAATCCAGACTCACGCTCCTGCCTTGGGGAGCAAAGGAGCAGCGAGTGGGAGCACGGGGAGGTGCCAGCCCTGATGGAGAACGGGGCCCTGACACTCCCTGCCCTTCTTAAGCAGGGAAACGGGCAGAGATGCAGCACATGAAGTTCCTTCACAGCCCAAATCCCAGGCTGTGAAATCTCACACGCAGCCCTGGGCACCTCCAGACGTCACTGGGAGTTCTGGCACCACTGTGGGTGGATGCAACCAGGACCTACTGAGCTGTGCTAGAATCAAGACCTGCTTTGATTCCTGGCCCTTCTCCATCTCGCAGACAGAGAAACCCAGGCACAGAGAAAGCAAAACACTCTTTCTGCACCCTGGGAGACTCCAGGGCACCTGCTGCCCAGCTTGGAAGTGTTGAAGACCAGGCTGGATGGGGCTTGGAGCAACCTGGTCTAGTGGAAGGTGTCCCTGCCCCTGGCAGGGAGTGGGACTGGAGGATATTTAAGATCCCTTCCAACCCAAACCATTCCATGCTTCTGTGCAGACACCTAACCAAGCCCCTGGGCACACTGAGCTCTCCTGCCAGCCCCAGCTGAGGATGCCTGTGGAGAAGAGGCTCTGAAGCTGCCTTGGAACCCATCACACCCCATCAACCCCTGCCTGTGACACCCAGCGGGCTCCGGCACCAGCTCCACAGGGAAATGTTCCTAGGGAAGAACCACTTCTGAGCACAGAGAGCTCCTCAGTGCTGCCAAAAGGCACGTGGTACTTTGCTGGACACCAGGGAGGGAAGCTGTGATCCCTGCAGAGCCCCTGCCCAGGGGGTTGGCACAGACAAGCAGGACACACACGATGGAGAGCAAAGGGACAAGCACCGCAGTCCCAGGCAGGCAGAAACTCTGGGAAGGAGGAGGTGGGGAAGAAAGGGGGGTTAGTTGGGGGCAAAAGGAGAGGTAAGATCAACCAGGAGCAGTCCAGAGTGATGCAGCAGCCCAAGAGGGGCTTGCTAAGGAGTGGGGGGCTCACAGCACCCACCTCTGCTCCCACTCTCATTTGCCTCGAAGGGTCAAGCACCGGACAAGACCCCAGAGCACTGCCAGGCATTCCCATTCCAGCAGCGAGAGTTTGGGGCCAGGGATGGGAGCAAAAGCAGGGCAACCTCTCCATCCCGGGGGCTCTCAAGCAAAACTAGAGAGGTGGGGAGCAGTGAGAAGAGGCCAGGACTGTCACTGGCCACGGAGAAGGGGGGAGAGCCGACCTCCCAGCAGAGATGTCCGGGTAGGGAGCAGAGGGTGATGCGAGGACACAACTCCTTCCTCCACACAGGCAACACTGTAAAACACAAGACACAGACGAGAAAGGAAAGAGAGAGAAAGGAGGAGGAAGAAAGAGGGGAGGGGGAGAGCAAAGAGAGGGAGGGAGGGGAAAAAAAAAGATGCAACTACAGACACCTTCCTTCCCTCCACCTCCTGTCCACGTCGGCCTCATCCCATCCCTCCTTTCTCACCTGCACCATCACGGTGCCAGAATAGAGAAGGATTAAAAACAAGGCTTTTTTGGACTGTTTTGTTTGGCTTTGCCTCCTTTGCTTGGCTGCTGGAAAAGACAGCAGAGAGCCCAGAGTCTATTAGACAGGTATGTGTGGGAGATCAAAACACTGCCCATTCTAACAGGCTCCTTCATTCCCTCCCTTTCCCAGCTCCTCCTGCATTCTCCCAGCACCAAGGCATGGATGAACTCAGCAGCACTGAGCTCACAGAGGATGCTTTCCTAAGCTGATGGGGAGTGAAAAAGCTGCCCACACCTCATGGGGGCTGGTTACAGGACTGCCTGGAGCTGTCACACGGACTTTGGAATCCCAGGCTTTGGCAGACAGAGCCCCAGCTTTGATTGATTCCCCCAGATTATGACCTTTTTTTTTGCTGCCATCCCACAAGGACGTGGTTCCTGAAAGCAGATGGGCACATCTGCTGTCCTCACCTGGAGGAAGAGAAGTTGGTGGGAAGCTAAAATAAAGTGAGATGGGGAGAGGAATGGCAGGTGCATCAGGACCACGTCCTGCTGTCTGCTGGCCTCCCTCCATAGAACATGGTGGGAATGATGCATGGCTGACAGCAGAGTCACAAGCAGCACCAGTTCCCTGCTCATCCTAGAAATTTGGGAAGCCTCAGCCTCTAAAGGAGGCACAGGGAAGGGTTTGTGGAGAGCCCAGGGCAGCAGGGCTGCAAATAACCACCCCCTGGCCCTGCTGCTGCAGGATCCCAGCCTTCCCTGTAGGGAAAACTTGGGGAACTGACTCCTAAATATTCACCCACCAGAAACACAGGCAAACAGACAATCCAAAACAACAGCTGTGATTGTATTGAGTGTGATTTTGGGAGCCTGACAAACGGTTTTCAAGCAGCTGGGTCTGGCAGCATTAAAAACCTACAGCAGGAGCACAAAGCCAACAAAACAGATCCACAACATGGGGCCTAATTCCCAAGTACTTCAGGAGGTTTAATGCAGCTGATACCTTATAAAAACATCAGCTTAAAATATCAGGACACGGTTCCAGAGCTAGTAAAAACCAAATGGAGCTGAAAAGAACAGTCCTTCCAAACTCATACAAATCAATCCAGTGATTGCTTTTCAACACCTTTCATTTTCCATGTGATAAATTTAAAATTGGACATTCCCAACATCCTGGGGACCCAAAGCCCCATCCTATCACATCCTCCTGAAAAAGATCCATTGGAAAGGTCAAAAGCTTCTCCTAGAGACAAGACAAAGACATGGTGAGATCTCCAGAGAGCAGGCACGCTGGGAAGAGTTCCTTATGGAGAGCACCTGGAGCTGAGAGAAGCAGGCAGGCATGGAAGGGGGAGAGCATGGAAGGAGCTTGGAGACTGGCACTACCCTGGGAGGAGGAATGAATGGCATGGGCTGCAGGGAGCTGCGTGGTGGTGGATGAGAGAAACCAGCTGGACGTCACGGACAACAAAAAGATTCTCCCCCGTGTTACTGAGCACGTCAGACAGAGACGAGACCACGGGGGAACACATGCACACAACACCACAAGGACTGCTGGAAGGAGAAAGAACAGGGATACTGAGGGCCTGTTGGGACACGAGACCGAGGAGACCCTGTGGCTTGCTCGGTGGGCACCACCCACACTTACCTGCAGCTCTTCCCCGCACGGAAGGACGGGCACGAAGCCGCCGGCAAGGAGGGGACGACGCCGGGAGGGCGCCGGCGCCCCGGCGGGCGGGGGTACCAGCATTCCCAAGGGCAGCCAGTGCCGTGCTTACCACAGGGTCCGCTGTGCTTGACGGGGATGGCAGCCTTCTGGTGGCACTCTGCCTTCTGGCGCTCGCAGTCGTTGCCGTAGGTGCGGCTGTCACGGGCGCAGACGGGCCGGAAGGCGCCGTCGCAGGCGATGCGGTCGCAGGAGCAGCGCGCGGAGCCGCGGCGGTTCAGGCACACCCCGTTGAACTTGCACTCGTCCCTGCACTTGTCTGGGGGTTGGGGGGAGAGCACGGCACAGCACGGCTCACATCTGCACCCCCAGGGATACAGAGGGGACAGGGGATGGCGGGGCAAGCGGGACGCGGCGGTCGCGCCGGAGGAAGGTCGGGAGCACGGGGAGGGGCACGGAGAGGTACTTACCCTGCTGCTGGCACTGCCCTGAACGCACCTTCTGGATCTCCAGGCCCCGGATGGCCCCCGAGCGCCCCATCACGCACTCGTTGTCGTAGGTGACGCCGTCGTCCCCGCACACGGGCTCCCTCCGGGGCGGGCAGCCCTCGGGGCGCGGCAGCAGCTCCGCCCGCCGGGTGCGGGGGTTC